TTAGAACTTTAATTATCCTGAAAAGATACCTCTCTCCATTTCCAGCCATCACCCTTAGTCTTCCCAGGCGTTAGCTATTGACCAACATTATTCTATCTTTTGTCTCTTCAGAGCTTTTAATATAAATGGAGTAATCAAGCATGTTTCTTTGTGACTAATTTCGTTTACTTAGTGGAATCTTTTCAAAGTCCATTCATGTTTTACTACATTCCCTTTTCTTGCCAAATAATATTCCATTGCATATACCACATTTTTTTTTAATCGGTTGAGGAATGTTTGGGTGTTTGGGTTCTTTCTTTTTTTTTTTTTTGCTTTTTGGGTCACACCTGGTGATGCACAGGGGTTACTCCTGGCTCTTCACTCAGGAATCACTCCTGCGGTGCTAAGGGGACCATATGGGATGCCGGGAATTGAACCCAGGTTGGCCGCGTGCAAGGCAAATGCCCTACCCACTATGCTATTGCTCCAGTCCCATGTTTGGGTTATTTCTGCTCTTTGGCTCATGTGTGTAATGCTACTATGTACATTCATGTTTAAGTTTTTACATGGACATGTAGTCTCATTTCTCTCTAGCATGGAGGGAGTAGTAATTACTAGGTTATATGGCAACTCTAGGATTTTGAGGGGTTTTTTTTTGTTACTTTAAAGTAACAAAAAACCAGTAACAATGATGGATTTCATTCTCCTGACCCTGAAAGAGCCTCGAATGTGGCACTTTCTAAAATCTCATCGCTAAAACGAAGGAGACGTTACTGGTGCCTGCTCGAGGAAATCGATGATCAACAGGATGATGGTGATACAGCAATACTTTAAAGGATTATTTAAAAACCCTAACCCCTATGTATTGAGGTTAGGGTGAGGGCTGAGCTCTTCCCAGAAATGCTCAGTGCTGTGGTGTGGGCCTGAAGTTTGGGTGTAGAGGTGCTACTATGGGACCACATTCAACCCAGGGGCCATATGTTGCTGGAGATTGAATTCAGAGCCTCATTCATACATAAGCTCTTCCACTTGTCTACCTCCCTGGCCTCTGTGTGTCAAAGCATTTGTGCAATTAACAGATTATTTTCCAAGGAAGCTACAACAATTTCCAATTTTGCCTGTAGACTCTGAGGATTCAAATCCTTGTGTTATCTTGAAATAAATCCAGATATAATTTTCTTTCTTTTTTTCTTCTTGTTTTTTTTGGGGGGGAAGGGTGGGGGGAACACCTGGCATTGCTCAGGACTTACTCCTGGGTCTGTGCTCAGGGATCACTCCTGATAGGGCTCAGGAGACCATGTCCAGTGCCAGGGATGAACGTGGGTAGGATGTGTGCAAGGCAAACCTGCTATACTATCACTCTGGCCCTAAATTTTATGTTCTCTTCAAGTACTTCAGTATGACTTTTATGAATTTATAGAGTTGGGAAGTTTTTTCTTCTTTCTTTTTTTGACTTTTGGGCCACCCCCAGCTGTGCTCAGCCCTCACTCCTGGCCATGTTTATCTGTGTCATTGGCTCAAGAATTTCTTTTTCAAACATAACTACATTAGTCACTAATAATAATTTCTCTTGGGGGGGTCACATCCAGTGCTCAGGGGTCATTTCTTGCACAGAGAGAGAGAGAGAGAGAGAGAGAGAGAGAGAGAGAGAGAGAGAGTAGCACCACACACAGCACTGGGAATTGAACCCAGGCTTTTGGGTTTCCCATATTCAAAGAGCATGCTTCAGCCCATTGAGCTAACTCTCTGGCCCAGTAATTTCTCAATGTATTTTCTTTAGTATTTTTGTTTATTTGAGGACCACACCTGACTGTGCTCAGGCTTACTCCTGACTCAGTACTCAGGGATCACTCCTGGTAAAACTCAGAGGACCATCGGGTTGCTGGGGCTCAAACACAGGATAGTAGTATGTAAAACAAGCAGTTCACCCACTGTACTATCTCTCTAGCTCATAATTTCTCAGTTTACTCTCCAGCCCACTCAATTTTTTAATTATCTTAAAAAGGTCTTAAACACTGTTTTAATAGTTAAATCAAATAGTTAAATTAAATAGTTAAAACTGGGAGAGGCAACTTATAACTGGGTATGAAATGATCAGGCCAGCTGGGGAGCAGGTTCAAGTTCCTTCCAGGCATGGTATAGGGCTGCATGCACTGTATTTTTCTCCATTGTGAAGGTTCCAAAGAATGTCAGTAAATCTTTTCAAATTTTCAAATGGTTCTTCACTCTTTGAGGAAAGTCCTTGAGCCCTTGGTTGGGGGATACTGGAGGCTGACTAATGGTTTACACTTACTTGTTGGTAGTTTCTAAAATTTGACTCATCATGTAGGGCAGAGGAACAAGCGATTAATTTATGTGAAAAACCCAATGCAGAAAAGCCATCTGCACTTCTCTGTTCATTGCAGCACTATTCACAATAGACAGAATCTGGAAAGAGTCAGAGTGCCTGGAGAACAGATGGCTGGATAAAGAATCTATGGTACATCTACACAATGGAATACTATGCAGCCACCAAAAATATAAAGTCCTGAAATTTGCTTATCAGTGGATGGACATGGAGAGTATCATGCTGAGTGAAATGAGCCAGGAGAGGGACAGACACAAAATTGCAGCATTCATTAGTGGATATTAAAAACACCGTAAGAGACAAATGCCCAAGGATGGTAAAAACAAAGGCCAGGAGGACTGGTCCATGGAAGCTTGCCACAAGTGCTGGTGGCGGGGAGGGCAGTTAGGACAAGGACCACTAAACAATGATGTTTAGAAATGATCACTCTGGATAAGAACTGAGTGATGAAAGGTAAAGGGACATACATGGTAACCATAAGGTATCTGTATTGCAAACCATAATGCCCAAAGGGAGGAAGTGGGGAGAGAGAGGGAGGGAGAGAGGCAGAAAGAGAGAGGGAGAGGAAGAAGGAGGGACAGAGGCAGAGAGAGAGAGAGAGAGAGAGAGAGAATGACTGAAATCCAATCATGAACAACTTTGTAACTGTGTATCTCATGGTGATTCAATACAAATAAATAAATAAATGAAAAGTGTGCCCTGTTACTGGCTTGATGTCAGAATACTGATAGGTCTTTGGTGTACCTACTTGTCTGTGACCCTGAGGCTGGAAATTCTGCCTGTCAGTTGGCCTCCTATTGAAAACTGACTTATGGGAGCCGGGAATCCCTGCACTGGGCTGAGGATGTACGGGGGTGGAGGGGTATTGTCCCCATGTGCTCATCGGGATCCCCCCAGTGTCAGGCTTTGGATTGGGATTGACTGATAAGGCCCCGGTCTTGTCCTGATAACAATAAAAACTATTAAAGACCCCGCCCGCAGATGAGTAGTGGATGAGTAACAATAGCCATCGCTGTTCTGATTTCTAACTGCTTATTCAGTGACTGACCTTAGCATATGTCTGAATAGATGGTGTTTCAGTCTTGCCCCAGGCTCCTGTGAACAGCTGTACGAGAGCACAATGGCTATGCCTGTGTTTTGGTGTGAAACTGAAGAGAGACTGGAGGGCATTGTGTAGGCATTTTAAAGACTAATAGTCTGTGAAATGGAGGATTGAAAGATTTTTAAAATTGTATTTCTAGAGTCACAGAGATAGTATAGTGGGTAGGATGCTTGCCTTGCATGTGCTCAACCCAGGTTTGACCCCAGGAGCCCAGAGGGTCTCCGAGTACCACCAAGAGTAATTCCTGAGTAACCAAGAAGTAGTCCTTGAGAATAGATTGGTGTGGCCCAAAAGCCTTTTAAAATTGTGTTTCTGTGCAATAAAATTAATCCTTTTAGCATTAAAAGTATCAAGTATGGACAATTTGTGAAAAATAAACTGAAGCGCAATCTGATTTTCCAGATTCATGGAAATCCACACATGTACCCCATAATCTTCCAATTAAAACAGTACCCTTTTGGGGTCAGAGAGATAGTACAATGGAAGAGCACTTGCCTTCCATGTGGCCAACCAGGTTTTAATTCCTAGCACCCCATATGGTCCCCCAAAGCTCCACCAGGAGGGATCCCAGAGTGCAGAACCAAGATTAAGTCCTGAGCACTTCTGGGTATGGCTCCAGACTAAAATAAATGATAAATAAGTATCAACAAGTACTCCTTAAAGGAAGGAAGGCTAGAAAGAAGAGAAACAAAAGGTCAGCACTCAGTAATCCCTCTCAGAGAACAGTTCTCAGTAATCCCCTTGCATAGAGAAAGCCGTGTTAGCATTCTGTGTTCTTCTATTCTGTTTTTATCTGAAATGCTTTTGTGGGGGCTGGAGAGATAGTACAGTGGAGAGGGTCCTTGCCTTGCATGCAGCTAACCTGATTTCAATACTCAGAATCCCATATGGAATAATTCCTGAGAAATTACTGAGTGCCAAGCCAGGAGTAACCCCTGAGCATCACCGGGTATGACCCAAAAGGAAGAAAAGAAATAAAATGCTTTTGTTTTCTGTGTTGGTCTGGTTCGGCTTGGGGGCTGCACTAGCCCCTGCTCATGAAATAATGTACTCCTGGGGTGACTCCTGGCAGTGCTTGGGAGACCATATGTGGTACTGGAGAGCAAAATGGGGTGGGCCATGTGCAAGGCCAGCACGTTACCCCCAAACTATCTCTCCACACTACCCACTTCCCACAGTGTTCAGGGATTACTTCTAGCAGTGTGCAGGGGGTCATATGTGGTGCCAAAGATCTAATAGGGGTCAAACCACATGCAGGATAAGCACTTAATCCCTGTAGTATCTCCTTGGCTAATATGCTTCTTCTGGGTTTTTTGTTTGTTTGTTTGTTTGTTTGTGTTTTATTGGTTAGTTTTGTTGTTGTTTTTTGGGCCACATCTGGTGGTCCTCAGGGGTTACTCCTGGATCTGAAGGCAGCAGTTACTCCTGCCAGTGCCTGGGGGACCATATGGGATGCTGGGGATCAGCCGCATGCATGCCCTACCCACTGTACTATTGCTCTGGCCCCTCTACAATGCTTTTGTTGAACAAACCAGTATCCATCCTGATTGTCTCCTTGTCTTTCATACTCAGGATCCAACAGAACAAGCTCGAAAGGAAGAAGTCTCATCGGTAGGGTTGATGGCTCATCTCAAGTCACAGGGAAAGGAGCGGCAGTGGAACCAGGCTTTTCTGTAGATGACTTTTCTGCCTCTGTTCTCACCGGGAAACTGACTACTGTCTTTCTCCCCATCATCTACACAATTGTATTTGTGATTGGCTTACCAAGCAATGCCATGGCACTGTGGGTCTTCCTGTTCCGATCCAAGAAGAAGCACCCTGCTGTGATTTACATGGCCAACCTGGCCTTGGCTGACCTCCTGTCAGTTATCTGGTTCCCGCTGAAGATAGCCTATCACATACATGGCAACAACTGGATTTATGGGGAGGCACTTTGCAAAGTTCTCATTGGATTTTTCTATGGCAACATGTACTGCTCCATTCTCTTCATGACCTGCCTCAGCGTACAGAGGTATTGGGTTATTGTGAACCCCCTGGTGCATCCCAAGAAGAAGGCAAATGTTGCCGTCGGTGTCTCCCTGGGAATCTGGCTGCTAATTCTGCTGGTGACCATCCCCTTGTACATGGTGAAGCAGACTGTTTTCATTCCATCCCTTAACATTACCACCTGCCATGATGTTTTGCCTGAGAAGGTGCTGGTGGGAGACATGTTCAGTTACTTCCTCTCTCTGGCCATCGGGGTCTTCCTGTTTCCAGCCTTCCTCACGGCCTCTGCTTATGTGCTGATGATCAGAACCCTCCGATCTTCTGCCATGGATGACAATTCAGAGAAGAAGAGGGGGCGAGCCATCAAACTCATTGTCACAGTCCTGGCTATGTACCTGATCTGCTTCACTCCCAGTAATCTTCTGCTCGTGGTGCATTATTTCATGATTAAAAACTGGAGCCAGAGCCATGTCTACGCCCTGTACATTGTGGCCCTCTGCCTCTCTACCCTCAATAGCTGCATTGACCCCTTTGTCTATTACTTCGTTTCCAAGGACTTTAGGGATCACGCAAAGAACACTCTCCTTTGCCGAAGTGTCCGTACGGTGAATCGTATGCAAGTATCCCTCACGTCAAAGAAATTTTCGAGGAAGTCCAGCTCTTACTCGTCAAGTTCAACCAGTGTTAAGACGTCCTATTGAGTTTTCCACAGCTCCTCTGTTGGGAGTGACCTGGAACCTGCTGACCGTTATGGAAGAAAGTTTTTTTCTAACCAAGCAGGTCTCACCACATACCACACATATACACAGCATAACTCAGGATTGCTAGCAACTTCTTTGTGTGAGGAAAGTCCCCCAGTTAATACAGATCACAACTTCAGAATTCTTGTCTTGGAGGTTCTGAGAAACAGATGTGAGGGTTTTTTTTTTAAGTGACGGAGAGAAACCTATGACTTGTTCAAACTAGCTTTGGCCTGAACAAAGTTCTGGGTTGAAACATTTCTCCTTAGTCAGTCACCGCCTCATTAGGGCTTGGTGCCTGTGGATATGATAAGTCGAATAGACCCACTGTACAAAGGAGGAAGCTAAGGCAAGGAAGGAGTTCCAGAGAAGTGATCTCCAGCCAACGGAAACAAGTCAGAACTGGACTGAAGAATCTGAGTGGGGTTCTTGGAACACCTCTTCAAATCATTGTTCATCACATCTAAAAAGGCAGGTTCATCAGACTGTATAATGGTGAGCTCAGAATCTGTGAACAGGACCCACGATCCAGGCTTCTTTTTTGGGACCACAACTGGCTGTGCTCTGGTACTTCTGGCCATGTGCTCAGGAATCCTAGTGGAGCTCGGAGGATCACATGTGGTGCCAAGGAATTGAACCCAAGTTGGCCTTATGCGCCCTACTGCCGGACTAACTCTCCTGTTCTAAGACCCAGGTTTTGACAAGTCTCCCTTTGATGCTTCTGCCTCATTGCCAGACTTGGGAGTCATGTTGTTGATTTACCTGGCAAAGTGTGATGGACGTTTGTGGAAATTTGCTATTTGTGTCTCTTTTATGTTCAGCTTATAATGGAATCTGCTGGTTGATATATTGGGGGTTTGTGTGTGTGTGTGTGTGTGTGTGTGTGTGTGTGTGTGTGTGTTTTAAATGCTTCCTTGACCTTTGTATTTTATTGCTCTTTGTTTCTTTACTTTTGTTTTTGTGTCAAACCCCCACAGTGTTCAGGGGTTACTCCTAGCTCTACACTCAGGAATTATTCCTGGTGGTGCTTGGGGACTATAGAGGATGCTAGGAATCGAATGGGGTCTGCTTTATGCAAATCACCTGCCCTACCCACTGTACTATTTCTCCAGCCCCTGTGTGTCATTACTTAAGGAAAGATAATATGGAGTTTAAACATGGAGATATTTTACACTCTTCCAGCAGTCTGAGTTATAATAAATTGTTTATCACGATGGCAGATTGTTGGATAGTTTATTGTCAGTCTGTTGACAATTTGGTTCATTTGTTATCAAATATGAAATTATAAAATTTCCACCGGGTTGAAAAGCAGTAAACAGTTGATATTCACAATCTTTAAGAGGTTCATAACTATGCTGACTTTACACAACTATTGTAATTGTGACTTTTTAAATGTATTTTTTGACTTGTAAATAACATGACTTTTTTTTACAACTGATTTTCGTGTTATGTATGTTTGCTGGGGAGGAAAGGTGAAGAAGGAAAACAATAACATCACGCTTCTAAAAAGAAATATTTTGGGGGGTGACGGGACATACCCAGTTATGCTCAGGGCTTACTCTTGACTCTGTGCTTCAGGGATCATTCCAGGTGGTCCTTGGGGAACCATATGGGGTGCTGGAGGCCAGCTGCAAGGCAGGCGCCTTAGCCCCTGTACTATCTTTCCAACCCAAGATGTGGGTTGAAAAACAAAAAAGTCATGGGGCCTGAGAGATAGGACTAGGCAGTATAAGATAGTATAAGGTACTTGTCCAACATGCAGCCTACCTTGTTTCCATCCACACCATGGGGTGTGACCTCAAACCCAAAACTATCATCAGAAAGTGTTTGTGGAATATAAGCTTTTCAAGAAGAAAACTTGCAGGCTATCGAATGTTACTGGGGCCTGCTCGAGGCAATCGACGAATAACAGGATGATGAAAAAAAAAATGAAAGCTTTTCAAATGGTATTTCCTTTGCCTTTGAGAATTGGCTCCCCACAACCCCTGGCCAGCCTGAAAAGGGCCCTTCATTGAAGTATGAGGAGTTCTGCCCCTGAGCAGAGGCACACCCTGAGTGTGGTGGTCTTTGCCTTTATGCTAGCTGTCTTACTGTCATCTAACACACACACTTTCTAAAAAGTGAATATTTAGCTCTCCACTAACTCTGGTTACTTGAGGGAGCGTGAAAGCAAGCGAGCCCAGAGTGGTCTGACAGGTATTTGTTTGTCCTTCAGTTTGCTGCAGGATTTTCAAACTAATTAATTTCCTGGTTATCAAGGTTCCATAAATCCTAGGACTGTAATCTCATCAGTATGCATAGTTTAGTGATTACAACTTTGTTCCTAAAACCTTAACCCTTTGGAGACCCTTGAGAGGACTGGAATATCTTATCAAATCAGGCATAGTTTAGCTCAGGGTCCCTGCCATGTTGATCAAAATTAAGAGTTTGTGTTATAAAGTTTGAATGTCTTCTTCTCGCAGCTGGTAGTACCCAGGGGCTGCTCCTGGTTCTGTGTTCAAGGTTGCTCCTAGTGGTGCTCAGGAAAACATAAGGTGCTGAGGGTTCAACCCAGCCCTCCTGCATGCAAAGTCTGCACTCAGCCTGTTGACCTATCTCTCTAGTCTTGAATGTCTTGAATGTCTAATAGTAGTTTCTAGGGGCGGGAGATAGCACAGAGTTAGGGCACATGCCTAGCATGCCCCCAGCACTGGTTTGATTCCCATCACCACGTGGTTCCCCCAGACATGGCTGGGTGCAGCCCTAGAGACCCCTGAACAAATGCTCTCCCCACTGTACTATTGCTCCGGCCCTCACTAGCACTTTTCAAGCAAAGAATTTGATGAGATCCCATTATGGGGAAAGAGTATAGGCAGAGGCAAGAGGGCTTGTGCCAGAGACCTTTGGCACTTGCTACCTTTTGAGCAAGATACCAGAACGGGAGACTGCAAAGGACTGAGCACTGGCACTGGAAGAAAGTCCAGGGAACATGCTGTCAGGAAAGCTAAGGTCTTCCAGGAGAGGGTGCAGCATATCACAGAACGTTCTGGTGAGAAAAATGGAGAAATGGGGCCAGAGTGATAAGACAGAGGGTGAGGTTCTTGCCTTGCATGTGGTGACCTAGGCAGCATCCCTGGCACTTCATAGGGCTTCCCAGCCCCACCAGGAGTGATCCCTGAATGTGGAGCCAGGAATAAGCCCATAATACAGCTGGGTGTGGCTCAAAGCCCTCACCAAAAAAAAAGAGAGAGAGGGATGACCATTGGACCTTTCCACTCCGAGAATGAGCTGACCTTTTATCAGCATCGCAGTCTTTGGCAGGACAAAGATGGATACACACTGGGATAAGTTCAAGAATTATTGAGGACTTGGAGAAAGAATACAGCAGGTGCTTACCTAGCACGTGGCCAACCTGGCTTTAATCACTGGCACCGCAAATGGTCTTTTGAACATCACCAGAAGTGGTCCCTGGGCACAGTCAGGAGTAAGCTCTAAGCACAGCTGGATATGGCCTCGAAACCAAAATGAAAAAAAAGTTACAATTAAAAATTGAGAAGGAAGTGGACAAAGTAATGACTATGATCCGACAGAATAAGTTTAATTGAAAAGGGGAGCAGAGAAGCATGGACAAGAGAATAAGAGTGACTCAATAAAGAGAAAGATAATGATGTCTTTGGATATACTGTATTTCTGTTTAATTTTGTATATCTAAAAGTGGAACTTCTTGGCCAAAGGATTTGTGTCATTCATGATAAATTATCACTTTTGAGGGTTTTTTGTTTGTTTTGGTTTTGACTTCTGGATCATACCTGGCTTACTTAGGGCTTACTTCTGGTTCTGTGCTCAGGGCTTACTCCTGACTGCTTAGGGATCACTCCTGGTGGTGCTCGGGGGCCATATGCCCCTGTATAGAAGATTAAATCAGGGTTGCCATATGCAAGGAAAGCATCTTACTCCTATACTCTTTCCAGCCCTCAAATTGCCCTCTTGAGATCACCTTCACTTAGTATTGTTACAAGCATATGAGGGTCTGTTTCCATGCACCATCACAGACACTTTTCATGGGCTGCAATATTCACCAATATACATTTGACACATTTTGAGTGTGCTGAAAACTCAGAGCTGTGAGCATCTTGGAATAAATGAAATGCTGTCTGTCCTCCTGTATTTATTTTGTGTTTGGGGCATATTTTCTTTCTGCCATTCCTCATCCTGCAGGCAGTGACATTTGAAAGGTGCTGCTCTGGGAAATTTGGTCCTATTTCCCTTTGTATGATCTCTGAGAGGAAACCTCACCTATCCTTCTGGGTGGGCTGTGGAAAATCTTTGGAACCTCCATTGTTCTAGAAAGTTCTATATCATTCTTTTATGGAGAATGTAAAAACAAAACTGCACCTACAATAGTTGGCATCTAAGACCTTGGATTTGGAACCATAAGCTTTAGCCAATTCACCTGTATTTGAGGGATTAGCCTGGTTTGGGCTGTGGTTTGGGTTCTTCATCAGCTTCCCATGTAGCCTGGGGTGAATGATTTAAGTACATAAGAGGGTTTAATTACAGCTTCTCTGTATTGCTGAGTAGACCTAATTACCTAATCTCTTTTAGCTGAGCATTATGTTTGGAGGCCACCTGGGCACTTGGATGGGGAATGTGTCTACTTCTTATAAGGGAAAGGGTGTTTTTTTTTTGCCCCATCCGATGCTCAGTGTTACTTTTGACTGCACGTAAGAAGTTCTCCTGATGGTGCTCAGGGGACCATATGGGATACTGGTGCAACTCGTGCAAGGTAAATGCCCTACCTGCAGTATTATCATTCTAGCAACTTATTAGTGACACATTTTTCCTAAAACAAAACAAAAAACTTTTGTAGGTGGGAGATTTTATTAAAAATTGGACCAGAGTGATAGCACAGCGGGTAGGGCATTTGCCTTGCACACAGCCGACCTGGGTTTGATCCCCGGCATCCCATAGGGTCCCCCAAGCACCGCCAGGAATAATTCCTGAGTGCAG